AATGGCGCTGCGCGAGCATCCGCGGCCCGCCCCCTCCGGCGGCTGCAACAGCCGGCGTGCCACCGCATCGCCTGGCGAAGAAAAGCCACAGGACCGGGCAGCGCCCCAAAGAAGCAACATGGAGGCAGGTGGCGCAGCTATCTTGATTGAGGTTTAGGATCCAAGTGTGAGCTCCTTGCCAGGTCGCTCATCTAGGTTCCAAGTGTGCCCGACAAGAGGCACCTACATGAGAACATGGATGAAGCCCCACTTCAATGACTGCCCACATCTGAACTTTGAGCGCTCATGGCCGGCATGTGGAACCCGAACCAAGCCCCACCGAGCTCGAAGCGGGCGCCGTTGACCAGCAGCATCAGCTCTGGCTTGGAGTCGGCGGGCCTTAAGCACCTGAGAATGGCGAGAAGCAAGGCGTTCGCGTCGGGTCAATGCTTAGACATTCAGGACGGCAGGATACGGCAGGCTGATGGGGACAGCGGTCAATTTGAACTTGCAATAAGAAGAAGAAGAAGAAGAGGAGGAACACAAAGACAAGGACAAAGACAAAGACAAAGAAGCAGACAAAGACAAAGACAATACATGGATCAGTCTCAGCCAAAATAACTTCATAGAATTTTATACCTTATATACTCCACGCTATCTCCACCCAGCCAGGGGTGTCCCAATACGACGTGCCCGTGATGCAAGGGTCGGGACGGCGGGAAAGACACCCGCGCGAAGACTGGGTCGGGCCAGTGGCGGGATGTCTTTGTGTTTGGTGTCGTCATGGTGTGTTGTCTGTTGATGTCTGTTGTTGCGTGTCACTGCAGGGTGGTCTTTTCCTTTTTTCGTGCGCTACCCCAATCCTGTCAGGTGCTTTCAGGTGTGGCAGGTAAGGACCGGCAAAAAGAACATCAAAACAAACGAAACAAAACCCCTGGGAAAAAGGCACGAGCATCACCAGGGCACTCCTCGCTCACCCCCTCTGCAGTGGCCGCCAAATGTCCCAAAGCTTCGATGTCACGCCTTGGCTCAGCTTTGGTGGGCACACCCGCGGAGCATTCTGGTGGAGGAATGCGACTCACCCCCGAACTTCCACAATGTAGACTCTTGATCAATAACCCCCCCATTTGAATGCGCGCACTTGCGGACGTCCGCGCCCACACGACCCCTTGTCACTTAATTGTGACGGGTGTCGGTGGTGGTTTCTGTGTGAAAAGGATGAGCTATGAACACAATGAATTGGAAATCCTCTTCATATGAGGGGTTTATTAATCAAGAGTCTTAATGGGTTCCAATGGCGGTTCCAGCATTCCCGTTTCACTCAGCTTCAACTTCCAGGAGTCAAAATTCCCTCGTAGCATGAATTTGGGTCGGACAAAGGCGTGCCCACAGGTTCCAAAGCCCTCGGATGCACAATGAGCGCCCCATCAACCAATCGGCTCACTGAGAAGCAAACCGAAACCCACTCCCTCAAGACAAAACAAACGAAGGCAGAAGCGTGATGTTTCCGCCGATCAAGCTGCTTCAGCCATGAACCATAACTTCTTGCCAAGTCTTCTCCCGCAGCAGTCAGTTTGAAAGGACGGATGCGAGGCCATGTTTCATGAACTCTGGACTTACGCTACCTTGTGGGAGCTGTGCCATGGCCGCAGGCAAGCCGCTCATCAATGCTGCCCATGGTCACATGCACCACCACGGAGCCTTGGCTTTGGGCAGGTGAGTGGCCCAGCAAGCTGGGCAAGTCCCAGTCCTCGATGGTTTGAAAAGGGGTGCGTTCTTATTTGCAGATTTTGTGTGTTGCGTTCGGCGAATTTTGTTTGCAGTCATGGTGTCTCTTTTGGTTCCTTCAGTGAATGGAAAACTGTGCGTGTTCGGTGAATTTTTGTGCGGTCGTGGTTTCTCTTTTGTTCCTTCAGTGGAACTGGAAAGAACTGAAAAGGCTATACTATCTTCGGATGACATGGGATTCAGAAAACAAACCTGGAAACTCACACATTCCCAAGTCATCTGCCTTGTCCCCTGTGTGTCCGGGTTGTATAAATCCCATGTCATCAGGCAAAAAGAACCAAAAAAGGATAATGCGAAACATCACCAACCCAATACAAGGCTGCTCTTTAAACGGTGCCACCTGTCCTATCTTATCCTGCTCTACCTATAGTCACCGCAGCACTAACTCAAGGATTGAAAACCTACTTGTCAAAAGTGAAAGCAGCAAAGACCATAGAAAGAAAAAACAATTACGATACGGAATCAATACGCCACAAAAAAGAAAATAAAAGAAGGAAAGTAAAGGAGAAAAGCAAAAAAATGCAGGAAAAGTAAGAAAGTAAAGCATTCACAAAAAAGCAACGAAAGAGCAAGACTAGCACAGAAAAGCAGTAGAAAAGCGGGAGCAACCACAGAAAAGCCATGAGAAGCAAGGAAAACCTAGAAAAGCAGGAGAGGTCATAGAGAAGCAAGGAAAGGCAAGAAAAGCAGTAATAAGACAAAATGAAAAACCTCGACAAAAACAAACAAACATAGCCCTCCTTTGAAAGCCCAGCTCAACTTAAACATGGGGAACATGTTCATGCTCTGGTAGTGGACATGTGACATGACCTGTTTTCCCAAACCTGCGGAATTCTTCAAGACCATCTAGCACACAAACGGTGCGGTATGTCAGTATGTGCAAACGAAAACTTATATATATATATATACAAATACAATCCCAAGAAAATTGCGCACTACCAGCCAACAACAAGCAGTCAGTAGCATCTTGGCACCCTGATCCCGGTCTTCTTGCTATGGGCTGCAGACCTACACTCCATGCAGCCCAGCCACTCAGGTGATATGCCAAAAAGCCTACAATCCCAAAGCCACGCGCGCTCAAGGCGGAGCCACAAATGTGGAACGCTCCTTCACCTGACGTCCGTCCGTCCCCACGCAGGAGGTGGGTCGGTGGCGGTCGGTTGGGTGGGCTGGCTGAAGCTTGTCACCCACAAAAGGTTGGGTGGCTCATGCTCATTCATCATCCACCTCCCCAGATCAGGCTACAGTCTATAGAAAAAAGAACCTTTCGCAGCATGCCGTACCGTGGCAGAAGATTCATGACCTTCATGACCGTACCGTGGCAGTCACTCAGCAGTCACCGGAGATGTGCCGGTTTCGAGTCCTCTGGTTCGGACCCGGTTCCGCTGGGGACCCCGGCAGTCCAACAGCACCAGGGAGCCGCCGCTCGGCAGTCGCTTGGCCGCCACGTCCACACCGGTGGTCACCGGGTCAAAGGAGCTGCCGGTCACAAAGCCCCTGGCGTCTCGCCCGAAGAGTCGGCGCGGCATTGATGCCCGCGCCGTGGCATGAGGCTGGGGGTAACGCCAACTCTGCTAGAAAGCTTCTGCGTGCTTCTGCCCTGACAGATTTCTCAATTAATAACGGTGCGGTGTTCCGAGTCTGTGTTGATCGGAACGGAGTAGGAGCACAAGCCGAGTCTCCCAGACTCCGCGCGACGCCGAGGGACTCGCACCTGTGTCCAGCATCTCGCCCATAGAGGAGCGCATTGCAAATGGTGCTTTTGCCACAGCGGCTTCCGCCAATGGTGATCACCACATGCAACGGCGCCCCCACCTGAACGAAGCCATGGTAAGCCGGGGGCCTGCAGGGGGTGGAGTTTGTTTCAGGCCGATCACTCGAAAGCCAAAAGGAGAGTCTTTGGGCACAAGGCACAACCCGGATCCAATCAAATCCAATCAGTCAGGAATCGTCCCACCAAACGTCTACGCCGCTCCGCCAGCTCCCCGTGTTCGGCGGTGGAGCATCCGCAACACTTCCGGCGCCCGGTGCACGGACTTCGACCAAAGCACACGACGTAGCACGGTGAGACCTTCCTCCTGGAGCTCAAAGCCTGGGGCGCAGGGAGCTGGAGCTGTTCCGACGGAAGAGTTTGGAGGGCCGCTCTGAGCCTGACTCACGCCGTAGTAGCCGGACTGGCCAAGTGAATAAAGAGAAGAGTTGGTGTCCCTCTTCAGAACTCCAACCAATCCCAGTCAGTAATTTTGGTGGCCTGAACCTTTATATCACCACTGGGGAAGACTGAGACTAAATCAGCACAAGTATGATTTGGGGGTGCAGTGTACCTGCAAATGTTGACCGATCCATGTTCTGGGTTATTGCACAAATGGCCCACATCATGGCCCAACACACCAATAATGCAGAAGGGTCAACCAGAATAAGGAAGACTTTTGTGAAGAACCTGCCCATTATGCACTACCCCTGTCTTCTGCGGATCATCAACACTCTAGAAAACAATCACTTGAGCCAAGCTACACCCTTCGACATTATGTCTGAGCAGCGGTGCAGGACCAATTACTGCCATGGCGGGGCCGACATGTGGGCCACCCCAAGCAGAGCGAGAAATGCCTTGAGATCTGACACCAACACCCTTAGCACCGGACTGGCCCGCGGAGGTGTTTCAGGCCGCGCCATGTTCTCAAACACATTCATTTGGAAGTTGTTTCTGAGCATGGGCGCTGCTTGATTCAAAAGTCCTCCGTTGCATTGCTAGGTGTTACGATGGGCTATGTGTCAAATGTTCTTACAAAGTTTGGCATTCTCTCAAGTTTCCTTCCCTCTCTCTCTCTCTCTCTTGAAATTCACCATCACTTCCCAAAAATTAGGAGGTGCAGTAACGTGACCCAATGTCATGGCTTTCAGCTGCAGAACATGTTCTTACGAGGCCTGATGCAATACTTTTGGGCTTCAGCCTTCACATCTCCCCAAGCTGATCAGCACAATACGGCCAAAAAAGAACGCAAACGTTCGGCTCGATGATGTCATCCATCTGTGAACTTCACAATTCATCCATGCAGTCTTTTGGGTTTTGCGTTGTTTTGCGCCGCTCCGAAAAAAGATGTATGCACCTATTGCTGGGTCGTCGGCATATACTTGGAAACACGGGTCAATCAGGTTCTAGGTACATCTCTGCACATGCCGGAGCTTTCCGTTTCTAAATTCCAGGCTCGCCTCTTCGTTTCTGGGGCCCCAGCTGCTTCGCTAGCTGTTGCCCTCCGGTGCTATGGAGACTGTAACACAAAGAACCATCTGCTGGAAAGTGAAAATGCTGCCACGAGCATATCAAAAAGGAGGACAATTCCTGGCTCCTGTGACACCTGTGACCTCGCATGTTCTAAGGTGTGCCAATGTGTGCCAGGCGGCCTCCTTGATCCCCCAAAACCTCCCTCGATCTGCCAGCTCAGACACGGGCGTGCACGTAGGAGCTCCAACGCGGAGGCATGGAAGTCGCTGCCGAAGCGCCGGTAGTAAGCCTCCCAGAACATCCGCCAGAACCCGTCTTCTCCAAGCAGTCTATCGTAAAAGGGATGCATGTTTCATGCGTCACATGTTAGTGCCACTTCATCCAAGTCCAAACCGCTTGCCCTTCAATAGCTTGTGAATGGAGGGCCACATGGGGGCTTCTCACCCTTGCATCGATGGTGTGCCTCTGTGTGTGTACAATAGGTAACTGATTGTAACTTATAACTACTGTGTGTGTATAGAGAAGGGGGGGAGAGAGAGAGAGAGAGAGAGAGATTTTAACCTGTGTGAGTGTGTCCTGGGGGCAGATCCGCCCACGATCCAGAGCAAGGGGGAAAAAAACAAAAGTAGCACGGACAACGATGGTACTCGGTCATCCTGGGAGTCTCATTAGGAGTAGCGATGCCCTTTGTTACTAGAAGCTTCTTGTTCCTAGTAGTAAGGCCAGGAGCCCCTAGTAGCGTCCTTGCTCCTACGAGCGATGCCCTTTGTTACTAGTAGCTTAGTTGTGCAAGCTCTTCACTTTTCGGTGGCAGAATATCCGAACCCGAAACAGTGATGTTTGCCTCGAAAAGCTGGTGTCGTGTGGAGGAAACGCTGCAGTAGGGCACGATGTGGTTCATGGCCTCAAACATCCAAGAAATGAAGAAGGAATGTGATTTTGCTGAGTTTACGGACCCCTTGGCATTAGAAATGCGCGGCGAGTCACTGTGAACAAGTTCCCACATCAAAATAGGCAGATCTTTGAGCGTTCTCATCTTTGGGAGACGGTATCCGCCTAACCTGGAGAATGCTAACGCCAAACATTATTTACCAACAAAGCGCATCACCGACGCGAACTCCGTGCAGCAGTGCAGGATAAAACAACGGCGCCCACCTCATGCTGCAACAGCATAGGCAGCAGTGATCTCTTCATGCCACACTGTTCAGTGCTGCCATTCGTGCCACACACTTATAGAAATGCGTACTGATGTGAGTGCGGTGCCACACGCCGGCCTAGGTTACCATGTCCTAAGGGCACAGGTAAGGAAACCTGAAAAGGAAGTGGAGGTCCATCAAGTTCAGCGTGGCCATCAACTCTAAAGGAACCATCGAACGATCGATCGACAGAATGACGTCGTCCGCTCACATCTGCAAGTCAAAAACCAAAGCCCTATGCGTGACTGCCGAGAGCAAACCGATGCAAAGGCTGGACATCTTGTTCTAGTTAGAAGCAGGGCCCAGGATGAAGTGTCTCAAGTAAAACTGCAGGTACGCCAGACTGATCAGGTCTGGTTTCACCGCCAAGTGCAAGTGTCTTCGTTGGCAGGAGACTTGCAATGGCGCTCCTGCCATCTGCTGAACAAAGAAAAACTCAAAAGTATTCAAAAGTACAATCCGTAAGGATCCCTGTGACTACAAGGGGCACACACACACATCGACCAAAAGCGGAACCGACTTCCTCCAACTCTAAGGCTGCCACCTCCCGACCCACTGGGATCTTGAATCGACCCTTTTGCCTCAGTGCTGAGTCCCAAAGAATAAACACATGCATGTTGGTCGCTGTCTTTCTGTCTCTCACTCTTCCTCGCGAGGGTCGTCCCTGTCTCTTGTTGTCCGGGCCCTTCCTTCTTAGTGTTCTGCCTGTTGCACCATCATTCCCGATCTCGGCTTGGGATCTTGCATTTGGTTCGCGGCTTCGCCACCCCTACATCACTTCCAGCACCCTCCGGGTGCAAACATTCGCTCTTGCATACTCTTGCTCCAGTCCACGTCTCAAGTTTGCCAAAGGCAGGCCTTCGGACTCTAATGATTTCCAAGTGGCCATCTTTGAAGAGGCCCTGTGAAACGCTTCTTGAATTGCTCCGGCACCCCGGCAAGCTCAGCCTGGGAAATAAAAAGCAGGACACTTGCACCTTCTTGACATTTCTTGACCACCCCATAAAGAAGAAGACCCTCTGACCACCGGTGCGCGGTTCGCACCGCCGGAAACACCTGGCCTCGGTGAAGTGCAGCTGTTCGCCATCCTGGAAGGCTTGGGTCAGCGCCCGTTGGAAGGCGTTCCGCGCGCGGAGCTCCTGCGGCTCCGCCGGCAGAGCTGGCGAACGCGTGGGTGGTTGAAAACCAAATGTCCCACAGAGGTCTTTATATACTAGTAACAAGTGCATCGCGACTAGTAACAAGTGCATTACTACTAGTAGCAAGGACGCTACTACTAGCGATGCCCTTGCTCCTCACCCAGTTTTAAGCTCCAGGGGGGGACAAAATGCCACCTCGGCCGCCCAAAACGAGGTGTTGCGTCCGGTTGTCTCCTTCTCCAAGAGGTCGGCCTCAAAGACAAACAACCAAAGACGATCGAACTGCGCTGTGGCTGTGGGCTCTTGGGAGCACACCGTGGAGGCCTCCACCTGCGAAAAACGGGATCTGTTCTGGTGGGAAGATGTCTCGATTGCAGACTGCGCAAATGAGCTCCCAGAAAAGAAAGCTGAAGCTGCAGCCGTCTTCTTTTGTGCCCAATCTGTGAGGAGGCGCTCCATTCCAGCCTTGCACATCATCAACATGCGAGCAGTGATCCCATTCTTGGTGCCTGGGATGACCTGTGGCATCGAAGCTACGGGCGGCAACCTCCGGATCAAGGCAACTCCTCTGGATGAAAGAAACTAATTAGTTTCAGAAGTGCTGCCTCTACCGGCTGAAGAACTGGCATAATGATACTAAGCAAGTCGAGACACCTAAAAGAGGGGCACAACAAAAACCAGTCGAGCAGCACAGCTCTGGCAATAAAGTAGGGCTGTAAACTCTAGACCATAAATAAGAAGAGCAGTAGAAGACCAGTACTGCGACCAACCGCCGGTTCGAGACTAGAGCCTAGAGCTGTGCCCACCTTGCCGTCGAGCAAGGCGCCGCGCAGGGCTGTTTGCATCCAGTTCTTCACATCCCAACCAGCCAACCTGCGGCGCCCACCCAGGTCTTGGACCCCCACCCGCACCTACACATGCACCCACCCACCCCTTCATTGGTCCACGGCGCAGCGGGTGCAACGTCCGGTCCTAAAGCTCAAGCCGCGCAAAGGTCCCAGTTCCCGAAGCCTCGCGAACCGCCACGCGAACCCCGCGGCGGGAAGGAAAGGCGTGGGAGCCAACCCGGTGTCACTCGGAAGTAGCGCAGTTCGGGCAAGCCTGGCAGCTTTGCTTTTGGTTGGTGCCAGGGTATCAACTCTGTATGGAAGCGATGAAATGATTTCAAGCGGGAATGACCTTGTTCTGGGGGACATCTGTGGTGTCTGTTCACCCTCTATTTCTGTCCACTCCAACTTTCCGCAGCATTCAGCCCTTTTCTCTCTGCCATCTCGCATCAGGAGAAATCCTTCAATATATGAGCTCTGCACCTTTCCAGGGGTTCTCGAATTGATTTCGAAGTGCAGCGCTCAACAAGAGACCGCCCCTACCGCGTCCTGAAAGATCTCTGGAGAACTTATGAGGAATCTGAGGATCTTCTTCACAGGTCCACAAGAGGAAAGCAGGATGAAGATCGATTATATATCTATATAATAATATAGACTTCCCTTATCTTCCATTGTTATAAATCGAAGCAACGGAGAATCTCTCATAGTCTAGCCATGTAGCGAAACAGGGAAAATCCTCCGCGGATCTCTGCGGGATATTACCGCCTATGATATGCCTCCTCTCAGAGGTCTTCGGCGCTTCAAGGGGGTGCAGCAAGTTGCAATGGCAACCAGCTGGGCGTTCCACAGCAGGGCGGATTGGGAAGACCCTTATGGACTCGGTTTGGGCTTGTTCGACTTAGAGTGAGTGCGAGTTTGGAAAGAAATTTGTGAAATCGCATCATCAGGTCAGACCACTTGTGGTTTCTGACTCCATCCTCTTGAACTTCGGACTCGAAGACACAATCCGACCGCTCACAATCACCGTCCATGCAGCCGTATTGCCGGCAGTCTCAGACAGGAAATGAGGCATACCTGCTTAGCTTGGACGGGACCAGAAAGCCCGTGACCCAAATCACAGAACAAAGGATTGACTGGATTAAATGATGAACAAAGGATGACGGAACAAAGGAGTTTGAGCACTGGCTGAAAGAAAAGACTTCTTTTAAAATCATCAGCTCCCCGTTTCATGTTCGCAAGCCACGCCTCGTCACAACTGGAGCGGCTTAGGATCCCTTTGCCATCTTTGCAGGCGGTTCCGCCTTAAGAGCAGCATCCACGCAAGAAATCTGGACAATGGCTGTGGCAAAAGGGCCCTTCAGGAATCCGCACATTGTAGTCATTGCATGTCATTGCTCCATCCCGGGAGGAGTTTTGAGGGTGCCGCTTGTGCTGGACTACAAGTTGCCACATGCCGCACCGAGGCCAAACACCAACCCTTGTAGCCCCTGCAGCCAAGGTACTGCCAGGCTTCTCGCAGTTTTCCCCGCACCATGGCCAAGCTCTCCGAGCGTTCGGCATGGTGCCCCGGTGCGCGCGCGTTGTCGCAGCACGGCATCCATCAACACCATCGCGGTCCTTGGTGAAGAAATTGTGCAAAAGGTCCCGCTTCACGGGCGAGCTCAAAGGGATTTAACCCAACACCGCGACGAAAACACCGCGACAAGCCTTCCTAGTTCAGTCACAAGCGACATACCCTCCACGAGCGGTGGTGCGCGTGGTAGGACGCAAGGGTCATGACGTCCCTTCACTGAAAGGACATGTGGCTCACCATCGAAGGTGCAGGTCTCCTGGGCGCAAATCCGTCTCACCGTCTCACCATTGTTCCCGATAAGGAGACGTGAGGCCTTGCCAACTGGATCGAAGCCTCCGGTTTGGCTGAAAGGATTCTTCCACGATTGGGCACTGATGAAGGGCGGAGAGAGAAAAGAGTGGCCCACGTGACTGGTGCTTGGTAGGAGGGGACTGACGCCCAAAAGAGATACATTAGGATCCAGCCAACCCGTCTTCCTTACGACTTCGGCGACTCGAAACCGTCGGGGGTCGAGTGCTCGGTAAAACGCACCTGATCCTGCGAGATCGAGGAGGCCGGTTTGATGCCCACGCGGAAGACCAAAAGCTCTCCACTGGTGATGCCTCCCAAGGTGCCGCCTCAGGCGCCAGTTGACGCGTGGAGAACGGCGCGAGCTCGGCGCATGCAGAATTGGTGCAACTGCGAACGCTCCCTCACGTTCTGGCCATCGTGATCTGCAAGGAAGGAAAAGAGTGGTGAACTCAGGTGGGCTCAACACACTCCTAAAGGGGTTACAATAATGGCCTTTCAAAGACTGCTTGAGTTCAGAACACGTTTCTATCCATTGTGCGGTCACTATGCCTTTGGGTCACCTCTCGCCATGACATATAGATGGTAACTATCCTCTATATACATGCAGCTTTTGTTGGTTTGTAGGCTTGCCACATGGTCACATGGTCCGTAAAGCTCTTCTTCCTGCCATGGCATGTGAAGATTCTCCACGCCCTTCCTTCCTGAGGCTCAGAACCTGCATGGTTGGTTTTGCACTTTAGCAGCCCGTTGGTTCCTGGCGTTGATGAACTGACTCAGCACAATATGTTTCACAATGTGCGAAGCATGGACGTGGTTGGACGTGGTTGCTTCCGTGCTTGACTTCGCTGCCAATGGGCAGCAGTTCCAGAAGTCTTTCAGCTTTGTCTAGACTGACCGGCAAACCTGAAGCTTTAGAAGTACAAGCCCATTGACAGCGCCTTTGTCGAAAAGGTCGTTGTTCTTCGAACCGCGAGCTCTGCAAGCATCGAAACCATCCCCAATCCTTGCCGTGATTGCCACTCTACTTGGCACATCACTGTAAATCCAAAATGATACTCAGCGGATAAAATGTCAAACACCGAAACACAGCAAAGCAAGCAAGATTGCTTCCCAAACCTTTCAAGAAAGTCGGGCTTAGAGGGGTGCGCCAACCAGACCCAACAACAGAAACGCGACTACGGGCACCCTGGCCGCGTTGGTGTCCCCCCAAGTTCAAGCCTTGAAAAATCTTAAATTCGGTTTTGCTGGCCTCGAGAGAGAGAGAGAGTGCGCACGAGGGCGCGCACGCACTTTTGACAGCGCATGGCCGAGGACCAAGACCAAGGGACTCAAAAGCTTTGGTGGCCGGCAATGACAGCATGGCTTTCGCAAGCTCCGCCTGGCCGCGAAGCTTCCGGATCAAGATGGTCCAACAAGCCACCCGAATCCAGAATTCCGTCCTGGTGTACTTCAATTGATGGGCTCGCAGATCCACCAAAATCATTTGCAGGTGTGGGCGGCGGTTCCCAAAGTGAAGTGCCAATCCAAGGCTTTCGTTGTCTGCCGATGCTTCTGCTCATCAAAAGATTAAGGTGTGGGCTTCTTTGGAACATTCCCCGTCTCAGCGCATCAACTTCACGTCAGACGACCGCAAAGCCGATCAGTATAATTATGTATATGTATGTGCGTACATATGCATAAATACATATGTGTCTGTGTGTGTGGTGTTCGTTGATAAAAACCCCCATATGAAGAGGTCTTACCATCCAAATGTGTTTTCCTTCCACCACCAATACTAAGTCACTACTTGTCTGTTTCACTACCTCTTTGACTCTTTGTGATGCCTGTTTTTTTCCTGTGGGCTTTTTCAAGGACAAACGGACCAACTGCGCGTGGCCAGCCGTCCGTTCCAGGCGTGCGGGAGCCGCGTCGAGCGCCTGCCTCCAGTTTGTCGAAACAAGGCTCTCCAAGCCCCACCGGCATCCCAGAGACCACCGTGGTGACTACACCTGCGATAGCGACCGTGGCGACTGGGCCATTAAAGAGTTGTTCGGCCACATCTGCAACACATGCTCAGTGACTTGTCTGTATTTACCTGCCCTCCATGATCAGAAAACTCTGTAGCTGTCGCTCTTTAGCATGATGTTTTTGCCGCAAAGGGTCCACCAAACCTGAAGAATCCTGGACAGCCTAAGATCCTGCCAAGGTGCCCCCTGTCGAGTCCTCCTCTCTGCGAAGCTGCTGAATACCTTCAGTTAGCGACTTGCATGTTCCACCCACACCCAAATGATCGTGCCTTTCGTAAGGAGGGACAGCCCGGAAGATTTACAATGGCCTTCCGCCCTAAAACCTCCCTCCCAAAAGGGGTGGCTTCCCTTTGTTCGCCGAGGTCCTCATGTTTCCACCCTATGATTGACAACCAACAGGACATCACCAAGCAAATTGACCCAAGGCCCAAGGCATGTTGGCCAGTTCGTGGCCACAAACAAGAATCCAAGTCGCGTGCCGCCATCTTGGCAGCTGTGGCCGGATGAGGACAGCGTGTATAGAGTTTCTTTCCATCTTCAAAGCTTTTGCCTGGAAAAAGCTGCGTCACTGGTTTTGCTAGGTGGGCCATTATCCGTGCATCCAATTCAAGGGCCAAGGCTCCATTGGTCAATTAGAATCAATTTGCACGCCCAGGCAAGGTGACATCAACCCAGGGCTCGCAGCTTTCTACAGACGAGTCGGAACGAGGGGCAGTTCCGACTGGGTGGCACAGTCACTTTGGCGTGGCTTCCAGCCTGTAGGTGCTGAGTTCAAGGGTTCTCCATCAGTGCGGGAGTACTTCTGTCCTCGGGTTGCGAGCGTGCCCCATGGTCTCAGCTGATGGGCACGCAGCAAGAAGATTGAGAATACTCCTCTACTGTGAAGTAGATGCATAGAATTTGGAGAAAGGAAGGGCGCTTGAATGATTGGTCCACAATTGAATAGAACCTATTTGCTGGCAGCCTTCAGATGGCCTCTCCGCTTTTTCACTTGGGCGACCCCTTGACACCTTCACACCTGTTCCGATTCATCCCTGGTCTTCAGGGGCACGGACTTGAGTTGCACCGTCCGTTCAGTTCCCAAGGGCTCCAGGGCCCCAAGAAAACATGGGTGCCTCCTTCCCAGCTGTGCTATGCTGTGCTCTCTTCCTGAGGCTGAGTCCGAACATGTCGATGAAGTAGTCATTCTCTTCGTCTTCGGCCAGTGTACCAAAGGTGTCGATCTCCTCGCGCGTGGGCGGGTCACCTGGCAGGTTTTCGGTCTCTGAGGACTGAGGTGTCCTTGGCCTGGAAGTCGCCTACCTACACATAAAGAAGAGAGGGGGGGGTTCGCTGTTCTATCTGAGAATCACTTCTTTTGGCACCATAGCAGCTATGGCACTTTCAAGAGCTTTGGCGACCTCTTTCGGTAGGTCAATGTCCATGATGGAGCTCACCTCATCCGAAGACTGAGTGGCAGCCCAGGCAAGACTTCTCAGAGAAGAAACCATCTTCCCCCTCTTCCACATCCGAGATACCCAGCAAGCAATCTTGAGCTGATGCTCCTGCAGAAGCCACCTTACTGCTCACAAGGTGCCAAGTGGAACGGCGACAGCCAACCCCCCTCATCTGGTAAAACCCCAAATTGCAGCGTCTCTTGGCACAACCCTGAATTGCAAAGTGCCACAGGTAGGTAGCAAAGGTGCCTTAAAACCTTGTGCACCAACCCAGGAATTCTGTCCATCTGGGCAGTTCGCTAAAGCATGCTTTGGCATGGTGTTTCATTCCGGTCCGTCGCGGGTTTATTTGGGTCACTTTTTGCGGCGACCCGTGGTTTCTCAAAAAGTTCCTCCAGTGGAAGAGGAAAGCTAGCTGCTGGTTGGTAGAAGCCATAAGTGTTCAGGCGGGCCATTTGGCAGTCGATTCTGTCACAGCGTGTCCGGTTTCCCGGTGTGCATGGACCACAAGGCATAAACAAAAACTCCGGCCGGAGGGCGAACAAACATGAGACAACTGCATGCATTCAAATCAAAGAAAACAAACAAGAAGAGTAGGAAAAGTATAGCCAGAAAAGCAGGAAAGCAACTAACAAAAAGTCACGGCAACAAAGGCTGTAGAAAGCAAAAGCAATTTAAACAGTGAAACAATACGCCACAAGAGGACAAGAAGCAGGAAAGTAAAGAAAAGCAGGAGAAAGCCAGGAAGTGCAAGACAAGCGCACAAGAGCAGGAAAAGCAAAGCAAGAAAGGCAAGAAGAATCATAGAGAAGCAATGAAAAGCCAGAAAAGCAACGAGAAGCAGATCCAACAAAAAATGCCCAAAACACAACACAAAAAATCATCGAAAAGAAATGCCCTCCTTAAATTGAAACTCCAAGGTCCAGAGTCCAAAGTAGGATTGTGCCCACCTAATGAACATCATCTTCCAAACGACTCTCGACTCTCTGAGGCTTTGGAGTGCTTAGGCCCTAGGGCGACTTCAAACATCTTCATTCAAGTTTATACTGTTATACATAAATAACCGCCTGTAGTCTAGCAACACATTGATCACTCCAAGATACCTGTATTCCCCAACCAGCTCTCCAAACCACTGCACCCGCACCCTCACCTCGACCCTGGTTCCCGGCTTGCTCGAATGGCCTCGCCTCCCGGCCAAGCCACTTCTCTGCCACGGCGCCCGCCGCCACGCGGCCGATGGTCTCGCGCGCTGAGGCGCGGCCGCCGCCGCTGGACGCGCGGGTGCCGTACTTCACCTCCGGCAACGTGCAGCGACCAGCGACGAGTGAGGGTCCCCACCGGTGGCCCCGGGTCGTGGAAACGGGACGCGCTGAGCAAAGAGATCCTGGATGTCAATTGGAGCAGGGCCCCCTCATGGTGATGGGTCCTGGTTGTGGTTCAGACTTCAAGATTTGCAAGGGACCAATCGGGACCAAGAGCGGAAAAAAAAGGCATGGCTTTCTTGCAGGTTGATCAAAGCAAATTGATCTTCCAGCCTGGTATGTATAGTCGGCGTGTCCGGGCCGTGGGGCAGCAGCGGTGTTGGCATAATCGAACTTCCTCTGGTCCTCCGACGTGGGGACCGGGGGGGGTCCGTCATCTCTCTGAACCAATAGATGTGCTCGGACCCTGCCACGCATGCCTTGCAAATATATAATTCGTTCCATCTCATGCATTCTGGCAGATTTCAAACCCGCCCTGGACGCAGTCTCGGGCATCTGTTTTTCGAGTGAACCACGGAACAGCCAAACACAGCTCCTGGTTTCGCACCATCATTGCCAGAGGTGTGCCAAGGGTCAGCCCATTCTCCTTCAGAGCCAGTCATACGCATGCAACAAGTCAAGCTCATGGGGCTTTGCCTTCTCTATCTGATCAACCCCGTGCTTCCAATCAGCGCGTCGGCGCACGCCACCAGTTTGGCGAACCCCTCGGGGTCCACGACCCGATCTGCGGATCCGCGCCCGCGCCGCCCCGCGCCGCGGAGCGCTCCGTGCCGGAGAGGATGGTGACGGTGTCCGCCTCGTTCCGCGCCGTCGTCAGCGAGCTTTGCCCGGGCCTCCGCCGGGTGAGCTGCGGCTGCACGTCCGCCTCGGTCCTCGGAGGGAAGCATCTGGAGGCGAATGAATGGCTCTCCCAGCATCTTGCTACAAAAAACGAGGAAGTGAAGCTGAAGAAGGTCCTCAAGTAAACAAGCGCCGCTTGAGATCCCATCCAACACAGGGGGTCGATCCGTCCAGTAATTCTTGGAGCCTCTACATGGGAACAGGGCAACTCGGGAAAACACCACGAAACCAAAACCATTTTTCCTCCATCTCCTCATCTGCCAGGCCGAACGCACGGAGCAAACCTCTCTCCCTGATGCTCGCCACGTGGCAAAGGCAAGTTTGCTGGAATCCCATCCACAATGCAGCCCACGCCAACACCATGTGATTCGCCGAAGGTGGAGACCTTGGTACCAAAATCCTCCTTCAGATCAAAAGACTGCAACTTGCTGTGGAAGAGAAGTCTTCCACCAGGTGTGTGCTACGTGTCCAACTTGCGTGTCTTTCAGACCAGTTGACTCTCCAATCACCAACTAAATATCTAGCTCGTAGCAGCTCCTCAGCTGACCTTGTTGAGCCTAGTTAGGCCTGAGCCGGGCCTGCCTTGAAGAGCGTTCCAAAGGAGCTCATGGCAGGTCTGCGGCCAAAATTGCTGCAGCGATGGCTGCAGCGGCCGGTGCGGTGCGTGTGTGTCTTGAGCCCGGCAGAAGACGACAGACTGATGTTTATCTCCTAGGTGTCGCCAGAATCTGTAAATACTACTGTACTGTAGTTGTCTCCCAACCACCGCGAAAGAGAAACAAATCCAGGAGTTCAGTTTGGTGGGAACAGGCGGAGAAAGCAAGTTTTGTCAACCCACAGGCTAGGTCGGCTAGGCTAGGTGGTGTGGTAATCAAGCCAATCGTGTCAAGTGTGGAGGTCGTAGAAACGAATTGGGGGGAAAGGAAGGTTGCAGGAAGCTCCTGTGTGCAGCAGGTTCATCACTTTCCTGCCAAACATCCTGCCCACCTCCACTCTAAGTCTCACACTTCCCCGCCAAAATCACCAGGAAGCTGAGCTTACAAAGCTCCAAGTTCACTTCAGCGCCCTGTCACCATCGTCCAATCAGCGATCTAGCTTGAAAGACATGATGCCTCGGGCTGATTCCTTTTTTGGTTCTTGAGGGGGCGATCAAAGCTGGCGTGAATATACCTTGCTAGATTTGCAAGTGCTTGAGGCCAATAATCAACCTGTCTGGCCTGCTGCAACTGGCGCTTGGCTCGGCGGCAGGCCAACCTGGCAGGCCAACCGTTCTGTTGCTACGACTGGTGCAGGATTGAAACCTGCCTGCTACGTGCGCTGCAAATCTTAAGGTGCAGTGTTTGACACGTGGAGTGTCCGGGTGCACGAAGCGCGTTTTTGTCGAGAGACTAAGCGCACCACCACCAGAGTGCAGCAGAGGATACTCGATGCAAATCCAAAGGTTCTAGCTGAACTCCAGGATCTGAGATCGACGACACACAAAGAGTTGCAGAATCACTGCATGTGGCATATTTCACCTCAACATGGACTTCTGGTGTACCACACCGTTTTCAACTGCGACGACTGTGCCCCACACCGCGGTGCCCGAGACTGGTCGATGCAGCCAACCTGGCCGGTGCAGGCTGAATGGAGAAGAATTGTGGGACATCCTCGTCCTACCATGATCTGCATTTGAGACTGAGAAAGAAAACTAAAAAAGCACACACATGGTTGTGGCCTGGCAACCTCTATCTGAGCCAGATCCTGAGTCAGCGGTCATACAGTCATAGGGCAGTCAGCTTCATGAGCTATGCGTTAGTTTGCGCGTCTTTTTCCTACAAACGGTGCCGCAATACCTAGGCTGAACACAATCTCATGGCGCTCTGTTTTCCAAGATAACATAAAAGCGGCTGGTCAACAAGCCAGCTTTATGAAGTCCAAAGCTGAATTCAAACTCTCTAATCTTTTTACAACATGATGGAACCAGCTCAGCTTTCCTGTGAAACGATTGGTTCACTTGGTCTCATCTCATGAGCGGCCTTGCTTTTTGTTGCTCCGGTTCTCCTTTCGACGAGCCTCCACCTGTTGTCGTGGGAAGGACGCCTTTTTGCTTTGCAATTTGAAGAAGGCCTTCTCCTGTTCCAGCAATTCTTCAAAGGTAAGCTCAGGCTCATCTTCGCCCTCCTCGTTCTGATCACCTGCGAACTCGCAAGTCTCTGGGCCAGGCAAATCTGTGAGAACCTCCTTGTCTCCACTCACACCGGGACTCTCCTCATCGCCCAGAATCTGCCTCTCTGACTTCTCTTCTGGTGAAATTCTCTCCAACTCATCCAGGTCCCAAAGCTCTTTCGAGATTTTCGAGTCTCGCATACCCTCCGTTTGAAGCATGTAGATGGTCTTGTCCACGGCGGGCTGGTCTCCGCGCAGAATCAGGCCACCAAACAAGTAGACCCGCTCATCGGCCGCCGCCACGGCATGGCCGAGCCGGCTGCATGGCAAGAGGCCTGCTACAACTGGTTGACTCCAAATCCACTTCTCCAGGTCCAAAAAGAAGAGCTCAACTCCTTGCGTGTCTCTCTTCTCACTGGCCTCGCCTGTCACCAAAAGCAAGCTCCGGGCAGTCCACGTGCAAGCAAAATGACCAAAGACTTTCTCGGGAGGCTTTCCGGTGAAGCCTTGTTCACTCCAACTCCTCTTGGAGGTGTCCAAAATGTGCAATCCGCTGTGATCATGCACAAAGTCTCTGGAGCTGGTCATCTGGTCTCGGCCTCCAATGATCAGCAAGCCTGGAGGGCCTGGAGGGCTCAGCTTCGTCGCAGTGTGTCCAAACCTTGCTGCGGGGATCGTGCCTGCACAATCGAGCTTCTTCCACGTCCAGGACTTCGTGTCCTAAAAGGTAGAACGGCCAACAACACGGCATGGCATGGACTAAGGACATACAATAAAACGCTGCAGATCTTTTCTCGCGCTCTGTCTTTGTCTCTGTCCCTGTCTATGTCTCTGTCTCTGTCTCTCTCTCTCTCTCTCTCTCTCTCTATTTCTTGTCATGAGTTGATGTGTATGCGGTTGCACCTCCGTGCATGCACTGAGACAAAGTGTGCGCTGGCTGTTTGATCGCATAAGGTCATTGGACCCAAATGAGTTAGCGCTGTGTTTGACTTGACATCCCCGAAAACCCAGAGGTTGCCAATTCAGAAACAACCGCAGTCCGGACAAACAGGATGCGAAGGGTGACATTTCGGCAAGAGCTTGATCTACCACTTCTGACGACAGTGACGCACTTTGGCAACTCAGCAGCCACAATCTCCGCAAGGGGTTCACCGACGCAAACAAAAATTATCATTTAACCTCACAGAGGGTTCGCTCACCGCGAAATCGCATTTCACCTCACGTTTGAGCATCCGACACGCACGACTCCCGCAGGCGGTCACGTTTCGCAAGCCCAGCGTCCAAGAAAGAATAATAGATATAAAGAGCAGAGATGTGACACGCATGCACGAACTCAGATATGTTATACTGTAGGCTGTATGTGGGCATATAGTATGTGACTCTGCAATTTTGCAAGTGTGTTTACTGAAGCAAGACCCCAGCGACGAAAGTTATGGCGGTCTTGAAACGGGGCGGTCTGGGACAGGCGGTCTGTGAGTCGCAAAACCGGGAATTTTGATGCATCATGATGCATCTTAGCACTGACCACGCACAGACAAACTTCACAGCTGTGGTCGGTATGGGTTTCAAAAGCAATTCATATGGGTACGTTGGAACATGGCCTAAGATGACTTTGTCTAGTTGGGCCCTCTTAACAGATGGTATATATATATATACTTATATACTTAAACCGTGTAACTATGCTTTGCAGGGCAAATGTGCCCAAATTCAACAGTTGGGTTCCAAACTGTCTTTCTCTTTCAAAGCTGAGCAGCCAAAAGGTGGGCATCGTTGCACACACGACCATTGCACTGCTCCATCAACTCGATCCCTCCGTAGACGCACAGTCCCTGCTCCACGGCTGTGGCGGAATGGCCCTGCCGTCGGGGATGAGGCCCTTGACACGGCTGACTTCTCCACTTGGCGGCCGCAAAATCAAACACCATCAGGCCATCCACGCTTCCGCCGAAGATCAGCATGCTGTTGTCAAGTACGGTGGCCGAATGACAATAGCAGGCTTGAGGAACTCTCGAACTTCCACTGGATTGGAAGAGCTCAAGGGTGTCCAAATCGAGGATCTGAAGTTCTTCTGAGCCAGTGCTGGAGCTCTCAAGGTTCAGATCCTTTTCTTGAGCTTCACCCGCACTTTGCAAGCCTCCAAAAATGTAGAGCTTGGAATTGTGCGCCACCATCGTGTGCCAAATGCCAGCCTCTCTTTCGATCTGCCGCTCCTCCCCTGGGAGTAAGCGAGATTTCTGCTTCCCTTTGCGCTTCCGGGCCCCCTTGTCTCGCGCGAAGCCAGCTCCTTGGATGCAAATGTCACTCCAAACCAAGTCACATGGCACCTCGAGCTGCGGCGAGCTTGCGGCCCTCTGCCTCTCCAGCCGTTGCATGAGCTTCTGCAAGAGCGCATTGCCAGGCTCAAGCTCCAAGCAGTTCTGCAAACATCTCAAAGCCTCCCAATGATTCTTCAGGCAAATGTGTGCAGCAGCTAGCCTTTGAAGAGCCCTAGTGGTCAGTTGCAAGGAGGGCATCAGCACAAGAGCTGCATGGCATTCACTTATGGCATCGCCATACCTGCCTAGCTCCAGGCAAGCCGATGCACAGTTGCAATGGCAGCTCGCCAGCTGTTCGCTACAGCCTGATGGCCCGGATGGACACAGCAACGTGGCAACTTCATAGCAGTGCACTGCAGCTACAAACTGCTGCTCCTTGAAGCATTTGTCTCCGATGGTACGGGCATGTTCTGCCATGCTGGCTGCAAAGGGCATATCCTCCTTTCGGGTACTTTCATGCTCTGCTTGAGTGGGCCCATCCAGGGTGGATTGAAGAAGTTCCCTGAGGAGTTCCTCAAGACCATCTTCATCACCCTGGCTCGTGTCCCGAGCGCTCGTCTTCTCGTTCGAAAACCACCGGGAGGGCAATCGGAGATTGGACTTCCAATTCCCTTCACTGTCCTTTTGGCCCTCAGACATCAAATTGGCCACTAAGCGATCTCTCAAAAGCTCCTTGAACAAATTCAAATGAGGTGCGTCCAATTGGGGAATGTCTGCGGTTGCGGCCTCAAAAGCTGAGCTTTGGCCGTTAACAGATTTCGAACTGCTAGATTCATTGGCTTCATTGGCCCCTTCACGAAGAAGAGCACCTTTCTTGTCGAACATCTGCCTGGAGGAAGCGCCTTTGTAGCCATACAGGGCTGAAGCAGCAGCGGCGGGAGCGACTGCAACCAACTCCTCAAACTTTGCAAAATCCAAGGAGCGTAGGCTGGTTGCCACATCACATCCAGACTTTTCATCCCTTTTGCTATTCTCCACGATGAAGTCGGCAAACCCCTGGGCCACCCGCTGCAAAACACTCCTGGAGACATCCAGGACCTCACCTTCACTTCCCTTCGCTCTTCGAATCGACTCTTCCGTAAACAGCAGGGGACTGCAGTAGCAAAACCATGCGGCGATGAAGGTCCATGCCATCACTGCAATGGCAAAGAATGTGACCCCAAGTTGCAGCTGATGTCCAGAGACATCCTCCACGGAGAGGTCCTCATCATTCTCCATCTGCGGCTTCAGCAAAGGCAGGAGCAAAGCCGCACCGCAGAAGAGTGCACAACTATACCAAAACCTGGCAGGGATGGCCCAACATCTAGAAGCCACAACCCAACTTCAACTCCAAAACCGAAGAACCAAGGCTCAAACATTTGACCCCTCCTCTCCCCCCCAAAAAAAATAGTAAGGAAATGCCAGAACATCCGCTCCCAGTTCCACTTCCTCCACGCCTGGCCATGATGCTCTTCACCGAGGCCGAGGACTCCGCGGGCGCCGCGGGCGCCGCGGGCGCGGGCGCCAGCGCCGTGGGAGGCGCCGCCATGGAGCGACGGACGAGCAGCGGGGACAGTGGAAACAGGGTGGACGGGGGGTGGAAGGTGTTTGAGAACGTCAGCCTTTGGAGGGATGACTTGGACGGTTTCATGCATAGCGGCATAGCGGTTTGAGAAGCCACTCAAGCATTAGTAGCACTGCTGGCAAGCTGTCAGCGGAGGAGGCTCTGAGCGGGAAGGAACCACGATGCCAAAAGCGTGAAAACTGTCTACAATCTGCATCAACCAATTGCATACTTGTGTTGAACACAGTGACAGTGAAATCATGTTCCATCCCCCAATCTCCTGCAGACCAAGCCCGCCATCAGAGTATCCCCCCAGCTCTCTTCAGTCTGAAGTCAGACCATCACTTTGTTTCACTCCTTTTCATTGGCCGTCCTGGAACGCATTCCGCCCAGAGAGCACCTGTCTCGCGGTCCGAAGAGCACCTGGGGGGGCCGACCGCAACGGGTCTGCCGCGTTCGCGGAGGAAGACGTCTATGACTCATAGACCCCAATCCTCAGCCTCCGGCCCAGGAGACCATTAATGCCAGGTGCGCGGATCATGGGAAGCAGCTGGGGATGTGCTCAAGGCAGGGGAGGTGATGTAAGTGGGCTTGCGTGGGATGGGACATGAACATACACAAAAGAAAACGCAAGAACTCAGTTCAGAATCTCAACTTGGTTCTTCGTTGTCGACTTCAAGTAGATCCAACTTCACTCGCTGCTAAGCATGTGCCGGCACAAACATGAATGCGTCGTCCCAAGCATGGTTGGTTCACAACTGTTTCACATTGGCGGCATCAGGGTTGGTTTGCGCCTGCCTGCCGCTTAAGGAGTTCTGGAGATGTTGCACCTCACCTACATCTACGGCCTCGTAGCTGACCTCGGGGACACCCTCCATTTCAGCACTTCTGGTTGCACAGCGGACCGCAGGTGAACCCCCCCCGCCGAAGGTCGGAGAGCGCACGACATCCTCAGGACCAGCACCTGGTCGAGCCATGGCGCAACGCATGCAACAGCTATCACTGGGGGGCCTATGCGCAAATAGCGATTCTGAGCTCTGGGCGCGGGGGCTCTGCCAGTGCCCATGGCCAATCCTAGCCCGCACAATTCAAGGATTCAAGTCTGAGAGGAACTAATCACAAAAATGGATTCCAAACACGACGAATCCCCAACCCTGATTTCCGCGCACCTCCTCCTCCTCTTCCTCCTCACATGTCTTTGCGCTCTGGTCAGCTGCCTGGACGGCAGTAGGTCCTCGCGCAATTCGCTGGCCCAAATCGCGCCGTCTCTGGACCTGGCTGACACATCAAATGCGTTTTCAGGCCAAGGGCCAAGCATATCCCACCACGAGTTCCAAAAGAAATGCTTTGATAGACAGCATGGTCAATGGAGTGGAGTGTTATACCAAAGATTCACCACCCGGAGCTCCACTTTGCACCTTTACGAGGATGCAAAGCAAGACCCCAGCTGAAGCAGCCGCGAACCTGAGCAGGCTCGTACAATCACCCAAACCAATGACAACCTGGTTTGCCACACGTGTGCATAAACGCAAGCTACGCGAACACATGGAATTTGTCAAAGGTTGGCCAAGTCGGTGATAAGGACCGCACGCCCATTTTTTGGAACTGATGCTCCACGACAATGGCCATTGCTTAATCATCAACAACGTTTCACTATCTGCAAGTGTCATGCCTTGTCTTTGGGCCCACTCGGAAGGACCATTGTCAATTGAACAAGTTGCAAAACCCATATACACGGTTTTTGGTGAAGAATGATGTCGAGGGGACAACTGGAATGAACAAGCAACAACTCCAAGTGAAAAGCCTTGATTGAAAAACATGACGGGGCGGAGTGCACGAAATGTTTCACTCAAATTTTAAAAGGACGAATAAACACGCAAGTGGGGCGAACTCCCTGCTGACACAACAGTGTTATTATGTCCACGCAACCCCGCTTTGAAAACTAATGTTCACCAAACGGCCATGAACGCGCTTTACAATTCCAACGTTTCCAACCTACAACGGCCGAAGGAAAATACAGCATGATGCCCAAAGTCCGTTTTAGGGCTGGGGGCGGCGCATGCTTGAGGCCAACAGGCCAATTCCAGCAAGAACAAAAAAACACACACAAAATATCACAAAATGCACTTTGGAACGTGTCCGGCTTGGAGGCTGTCCAACTTCTCTCTGACTACTGGCGCCAGTGGTTGCGCTGTCGGGGTTTGTGGCTTTAGGTGAACCTCAAACTCGCACCGCTTCCAAACTCAAAGCGCAGATGGCGTGGCAGGCAACCCTACTGGTTTCCTCCAATTTGTGCGGGAACCACGCAAAGCGGTGCTTGTCGGCAACGTGTGCTTTGCAGATACCTGCTTCAAGGTGCTGCCGCCAGATGTGTGGCCGCGTCCACTTTTTGGGTGCTGGTGGTATGTTGGCGCTGGTGGCATTGCAAAGTGCCACTGTGAGAATCCCTGCTCCCGAACATTTATTTATTTGAGGCCTATGCTGCAACATCCGCGCTCTACTTCCCTGCTTTCAAAGATGGTCCTTTTCCCACAGGAGAACCACCCTATCAGCATGACGATGACACAGGGTTCTGGAACAAAAACGGTTTTCCCCGAACAGGTTTACTTTACTTGTGGGGGGTTCATACTCCTTCGAAAGGGATGCTGCCCGAACCGCATGATTTTACACTTGTCTCCGGGCTGCTTGCGTTTCTGCCACACTGCGATTGCTTTGGCCACATGATGTTGCAGTTCTCCCCATACACTTGTCTCCCACTTGTCTCGCTTCTCTGGGCGCTCTGGGTCGCATGATTTTTCTTGCCTTCCCTGTCTCCAGTACACTCTGGGTGCCCTGGCCGCATGATTTTACACTTGTCTTCCATTGGGCCGCTTGCCCCCCACTCGTCACCAGCACACTCGGCCGCATGATTTTACACGTGTCCCCCACTTGTCTCCCAGTCCTCTCTGGCTCCCCTGGGCCGCATGAGGGTTTTTTTCTCGGCTGATGTTTCCCCTGCCTACCCTGGATACACTTGGCCGGATGTATTTACACCTGTCTCCACTTGTCTCCCTGCTTGTCTTCCTTTTTGTTGCGCTCCACACTTGTCTCCATGGCCGCGGCCCACACAAGTCTGCCCCGATATTGCGACCCGGGCCCCCCAGACCGCAGCTGCAACGCTTCCACTTGTCCCCCTGCTTGTCTCCCTTGTTGCTTCACTTGTCTCCTTTCCTGTCTCCCTGTATATTTGTCTAACCTCACAAAATCACTGTGGGTTGAAAGGTTTTGACATTTTCGTCAAACAAAACATGATAAAACCACATGTCAGTGCAACTCAGCATATTCAGCAGCTTTGCATATGCTCTGTTTTCCTCTGAATTGACCGTTTTGACAAGAGTAACAAGAACGGAGACAAAAGCAGAAAGACCACCAGGGAGACAAGGGGGAGACAAACATACAATTATCCGGCCAAGCGCATGAGCAGGAATGGCGCGGTGCGGTGGAGATCGTGCAAAAGAAGGACCGCGGTGTGTTTCATGATTGGAAGGGTGCAGCCGCAAGTGCAGGAGGTTGGCGAAGGATATTCCACACAGGGCCAGTGGCCCACAAATGCTTTGTTCCTAGTTGCCATCACCCCGTTAGCTTTATATTTTGCGCTGGGGTGGCCGAGAGGAAATGTCACCAGCTCCTCCACACCGCGTGCAGCCGGCTGTTCCCAGCTTTTGGGATTCGGCCGGCGGCCGTGGCCTTGGCCCTCAATGCACATCCGGTGCGTTGGCCGGTGTTTGAGTGCTTCACGTGCAAACTTAGGCCTTGAAAACAAAAAACTGGATTTGGTCATGTTCCAACTCAAAACATACGTTTTAGTGGTCTACTAAACGGCGTTAGCTTGGAGACGGTTTTCGATGAGGCCGATCTCCTCTACCTCTCCCACTCCCCCACGCCCCCGATTGCGGAAGTCACTCGTCCATGCTTCCAACCGGCCACGGCCAATGAAATCGGTGAATTAAAAAACCACCACCACACTGGAGGGATAACTTTCAATTGCAAATCACCCAAACAATTGGCAGTTTTTGTCCAGCAAATTTTTGTCCATAGTGCCACTTGCTTATCAGTGCGCAAATCATTGCCTTTCTTTTGGTTTTCATTTTTGTTTGCCACCACGGCATCCACGTCGAGGCTGGCAGGGGGATGTTTTTAAAGCATCCCGACCGGTTGGCAAAAGTCTGAAATTCGCACGTTTTGGTGGTCCACTCCGGGGCGTACTTGCAAGCATTCAGAGGCAAATCAGCCCAACTTGAAACGCATTTTTTGTTGGAGCAACATTTCGGACAGGAAGGGGCAAACCCAACTGCGAACACACCTCTTGTGTGGGCAGCCCAGGGTCAAAGTTGAGCATGAGGGGCAAGTGCGACACAGTTGTTGCACATTTTCTTGTGGACCACCTCAGGACAAACATTAAAGCACGAAGGCGGACTTCACCACCTCTCTCTTTGCCGCCCATGGCTTCCAAATACCTGCCATGTTCTTTGGAAACCCGCGCGCCAGATCAAATTACACCAACACCGAACCCAAACAGCAGCGGCAGTCGCAGTTTTTTTTGCCAACCCATTCCTGGCGCGACAAGGGGAGACAAGGGTGCCAGCCCAGCATCCAAACATGCCATGAGAGACAAGGGGGGACAAGGAGAGACAAAGCAAAGTGAACGCAGCCCAGCAAAATCATCTCAGCCCAGCATCCAGACGTGCCATTGGAGACAACGGGGTAAAGGGGAGATAACGAGAGACAAAGCAAAATCATCTCAGCCCAGCATCCAGACACGCCACGGGAACACGCCATGGGAGACAAGGAGAAAAAAGGGAACACAAAGAGAGACAAAGGAACACAAAGCAAAACACAAAACAAAATCATCTCAGCCCAGCATCCAGACACGCCATGGGAACATGCCATGGGAGACAAGGAAGGACAAGGGAAAACAAAGACAAACAAAGGAACACAAAGCAAAATCATCTCAACCCAGCATCCAAACACGCTATGGGAGACAAGGGGGGCAGGGGGAGACAAAGGGCGGGGAATCATCTTGGCCCAGCATCGTTTCTATTCAAGAATCGGGAACCCCTCACAGCAAAACTTCTACGGGGAAAAAGTAGGCTCAAAAAAATACGCATGTTCTTTGCGAGTTTGGCTTGTGTTCTGGTGCTTACAGGGGCTATGCGGCCTGTGCTGTTGCGAACGCCTAGCTGGCGGGGACCCTGTGTTGGTCGGGGCGCGTCGTGCCCAGCCACGACCAAGAAGCAACCCAACCTTTCGTCACATGTTCCTTTGTCTTGTAATGTTGCAATGCAAAAATGATAATTAATAATGTCTAGGCGCGGCTGCTGACTCATGACTTCTGGAGGGGGATCGTCAGGTGCATGCTGCAGGGGGCCGGCGCCCTTGGACTTCGATGTGCAAATCGTGGCAGGCGCAGCGCTGTGAATTTAGCGATGTGATTCGGGATGTGGCAGGCGAGCATGTAGCAAACGTACATTTCGAGGTCAACAAAATGCTGGCCAACCCAAAGGAAAATTGCCACCCAAACTCATGAGCGCTCCTATACA